GACCTCCACACACACTATGTGTGTGCACCCACACACATATCATACACATGGTAACAATAAATAAAATAGGGGCTAGAGGGATGGCCCAGTGTTAAGATCACTTGCTCTTCCACAGGGCCTGAGTTCAGTTCCAAGCACCCACTTTGGGAATCTCACAACTGCCTCTAACTAGCTCCAGGGAACACAACACCCTTTTCTGACTTCTTTGGACATTTGCACACATGTGGCACACACACAGACACACACACACACATAAAAATAATGAAATATTTTTAAAAAACAAATAAATAAATGTTTATTTTATTGTTTTTGAGACACAGTCTCCCTGTAGTCCTAACTTGACCTGGAAATTGCTATGTAGACCAGGCTGGCCTTGATCTTACAGAGATCCACCTGCCTCTGCCTCCCAAATGCTGGGAACAAAGGCCATCATGCCCAGCAAATAAAATAAAATTTCAAAAAGAAGAAAATCCCACCAGTAACAAAAAGTTGAGGATCTCCATTTGTTGCTGGTTGTGACGGTGCAGGCAGGTAGGATATGCTAAAGATCACAGTTTGAAAGGCAGCATTAGCTGGGCATCATGGCACATACCTGTAATCCCAACATTTGGGAGGCAGAAGCAGGAGCAGGAGTTCAAAGTCATCCTTAGGTACATGGTTAAGGTTAAGGCCTGCCTGGGCTGCATGAGATCCCATGCAAAATAAAATAAAGCAACATTAGCTACTGCTGCTTTTACAGAAAAACACAAAGCCCTCTGCACACGCTATCTCATTTTGTCCTCAATAACATAGGGCGTACCTGTGGCTCTCACCTGCACACTGCCCAGACTGACACCAAGCCCTTTTAAGAGGAGGCCAGGGTACTGCAGTCTTACACCTATTCTAACTCCAGGACAGCCTGAGATGGCAAACGCATGTGACATTTCTGCACAAAGTACTCACTGTTTTACAATGAGTCCATCAGATGTGAGTCATCCCATAACTCAAGTATTTATATTATTTAATGATAAGCCAATGATGGTAAAAATACCACAAAATGGGGCCAAATGATCCTCCAGCATTTATCCAGCCCCAGAAGATTCATGAGAGGTATTCTGAGAGAAACAAATTAGAATTTTTTGGTTTTTGAGGGTTTTTTTGTTTGTTTGTTTGTTTGTTTTTTTAATCTTTTTGAGACAGGTTCTCCCTGTAGCCCCAGCTGGCCTGGAACTCAGAGAGATCCACCTGCCTCTGCCTCTGAGTGCTGGGGTCAAAGTTGTGCAACACCACGCCCGGCTCAAATTACAGAGTTTTAGAGCTGGCAGGATCTTAGGGTTCATATGATGCCAAATACTCTTCACTTTTCTGAGGTGAAAGTTGAAATCTAAAGGGCAGTGACTTGGTCAGCATCCACCCAAGGGGCAAACTATACCCACTCCTGGCTCATCTCCAGACTCTTCCCGCTAGCCCAGGCACTGCCTGCCCACTAACCCCAAGTCTCCCTGTCCAGCTTTCATTTCCACCTTGGGGGAACCCTGCCTGGGTACTCAGTTTTTCCTGCCTTCCCCCCACCAACTTTTCCCCAGAAATACTGCCACCAGGGAAGCTGCAGCCAACCAGCCAGCACCCGACAGCTCTGTCACAGCTGCCCTAGGTGGTTTATAACAGAACAGATAAGGAGGGCTAAGGGAGAAAAGGCTAGGCCACTTCATTCTCCCGGCAGAATATTCGGCCTCAAGCTGTGGGGAAGGAGAGGTACACAGAAGCCCTACAGCCAGCAGGTGCCACCAGCTGGTACCATGTTGCTAACTGCCAGCAGCCCTCTCAGCCAGTTCCCTGACATGTGAAAAGGAACAAGAGGGAGCACCAACCAGGCAGCCAGAAGCATTACATGGGAAAAGAACCTAGAACATGCTTCCCACAAAACCCTGTGTGAAGGAAACCTCCCTAGACTTAATTCATTAAAATGTAGTCCTGTCAACCCCAAGCATGCTCTAAGCGCTTGTCAGTCATGGGTGGCTGATGTCCAGACAGCACTGTCACAGAGCCTGTCATGACCATTGAAAGTCCTACCACATTGGATTATCCCTGGCTATCCCTGGTTCCCTTGCCTATGTCCAGGCTTCAGCAAATGGGAGTCCCATCCATTGTTCTTCCTAATCTCTCTAGTCTACACTGTGTGCCATGTCTTAAAGGACTCAGCAGTCTGGACACTGACATCTACTGCATACAGTTTATGCCACGCCCCTCCAGCCACAGAGGACACAGATGGGACCTTGGAATGTGCCTATCTTCAATTCCTTCAGGCTCTACAACCTATCTCAAGAAATCAGCCTCTTGACACTGCCTCACTGAACAACTCAAATCTACATGAACAGCAAGCAGATAGTCACCCTGATTAAACTCTAAGGTGACCACACGCCCTAAAAATAAATGGACAAAACTCTCCTAAGACCTTTCTGTGTCAGTCCTCCCAGCTCTGCTCCTGAGCTCTCAGAGGCCTGGTCAAGTCCCAAACCATAACACCTGGGGCTCAGTCACCCCCCCCATCTCTCCTGTGGTCTTGCTTCCTACAAATAAGTCTCCCCATCACAGTTGGAATGACAATTCAAAATTACACAAGCCAAGGCTGAGGAGATGGCCCAGTCAGTAAAGCATTTGACTTACAAGCTTGAGGACTTGAGTTCAATCCCCAAAACCCAAACTTTTTAAAAAGAATCCAGGAGTGGTGGTGCACACTTACGGGCAAGTGGAATAGCAACCTGGACTCGCTGGTCAGCCAGCCCAGCCTAACCCACTAGTTCCAAGCCAGCGAGAGACCTTGTCTCAAAAAAGTATGGTGGACAGGGCTGAAGAAGGACATCTAAGGTTGTCCTCTGGTCTCGGTCTCTCTCTCTCTCTCTCTCTCTCTCTCTCTCTCTCTCTCACACACACACACACTCATCACCTGAATGTACACCCCCATTTATGCACAAAACATAAACCACTTTATTCTGCAAGCTCTTCAATGGCCTCCTGCTCCCCAAAACCACCCAGGCCTCTGCCCAGCATGGGAAGCTCAATGCGGGGTCCTGGCTCAAGAGGCTCTCAGGCCCTCTTGCCACCTGTGGCACTCTGCAGAACTCCCAGTCTCCCCTGTCCTGGCTTCAACCGGGAAGGCTTCCCTCACTGCCCTCCCATCAACCACATCCATCCCACTTCCTTCCCAGCATGGCTGCATCACTGTCTACTCTGGGTAATGGCGGCAGCCGTCACTGAAGGCCCAGGAAACAGGGCGGCAGCTTGCTCCTTTACCACAAGTGCAGCCCAGGTCGAAGTTCTGCCACTCACACAAGGTCTCCAGAACCTGGTGTGCCAGGCCGTGCCTCTGCCCTTTCACATTCTGTCTGTCTCTTTGCCTGAAATGACCCCAAAAAACTTCTCAACCCCAACTTTCAAGAATCTGCTTATCTGTTACCTAGCCCTTAACCATTCATTACCCCTTTTCAAGAATCTCAGTCCAGCCGCCTTCAAGGCCACTGCACTATGACACCATACAACTTGGCTAATCACTGACCTTACCAGCTGGAGCTGTGTCCTCTGCTCCCAGTGCCAAGCACTGGACAACCTGGTGCCCTCTCTCTCTTTAACCACACCTGACCCTTGTCTTTCACAACCACCAGGTGAGGTGTGTTCTTTTTCACAACAGTGCTTCCAGGCACCTTCTTCCTCCAGACTCTGCAGAGTAAAATATGCCAGGAACTGCTTATTGGTAGCAATAGCCTAAGGAAATGATCATCTTTGTTGTAGAGATTTCCAGGACTGAAAAGCATCTCCAGAGATAGTGATCAGATGTGCAACATTTGGGCCCTAAACCTGTACCAGGATGCAGATATCCACAGGCTGCAATACAGGCTGTGATAACCATCTCCTATCCAAACCATGCCCAAATCAGCCTCCCAGAAAGATGGCCCTTCAAGCTGCCATCTGCCACTCAGTAAGGCTATTGTAATTCAGCCTCACTCATGCTGACTGGATGACTTGTTTCTGTGGGCTGTGGATGCTAACAGAAACTTCCAGGCATTCAAACCAAGTTGAAAAACTTAGATGAGGAAAATCACCTTAAAGGGTATAATGTGCCCAATGACCTCACTCCTCCTCAGCTGTTCTCTCCATCAGGTGAGTCTCACCCTAGAGTTAAAGATAACAAACGGGGAGGGGGGGTTGCTGGAGAGATGGCTCAGTGGTTAAGAGCACTGGCTGCTCTTGCAGAGGACAGGGGTTGGGTTCCCAGCACCCACAAGGCACCTAACGACCTCCATAGCTGCAGTTCCAGGATCCGATGCCCTCTTCTGACCTCCCCAGCATTGCATGACACAGGTACACTTACATGCAGACAACATACTCATACATGGGTACACTAACACATGCAGGCAATACACGCATACACGGGTGCACTAACACATGTAGGTAACACACTCATACATGGGTGCACTAATACACATGCAGGTGAATACACTCATATACAGAAAATAAAAATAATAAAGACCAAACACTGTCACATCACGTGCGGAGCCCGCCATGCCACCCGCCTTTGGTTATAGAGGGGTGCTTCGCGGACCACACACACACACAAACACACACTTCTAAGTTTATGTCTGTTAACTCACACGCCTCGGGAACTGTCTGAGAAGCTGCAGGGCTCGGTGGACCTCCAATCCGAGGAGAGGCCGAGGGGGACCCCGGAGAGGAGGACGCTAGGAAGAGATGGAAAATCGGGGGAACCCGGGTGTGGGGGGGACTGAGTCGCGAGGGGTCTCAGCAGGGGGCCGGGTCTCCGGCTTTGAAGCCACCGAGGTCCTCGGGGCGTCCTGAGAGTATGGGGGTTCCAGGAAGGCTGTCGGGACCGCAGGGGGCCCGGGACTCTGAGGACTCAGAAGCCGGGGGATCTGGACGGACCCCGGGGGTCTGGGGCAGGTCCCGGAGTCGACGAGGAAGAAGCCGGGGATACCCAGGGCGCTCGCCGCGACCCATCGCCTCACCTGCGGGGCCTCCAAGACGCCGGTGCCGCTCGCGCTCCCGCCGGCCGCACCCCTCCGGCTGGGAGGAGCCGCGGGGCCGACCGCTGGACGGCGCTGCGCGCGCGCCGTGTGAAACCAACACAGCCGAGCCCGCGGCGCGCCCGCAAAGCCTTCCCCCGGGCGCGCGCACTCGCCGCGCGATCGTTCCGCTTGGAAAGCTCTGGCCCCGCTGCGGCGGGAAGCCACGCCCCAGGAAGAGGGGCCAGTTCGCGCGCCCCGCCCCAAGGAACCTGGGCGCAGGCGCACTCGAGCGCGCGTGGACCCTGGGCTGGTTCACTGGCTGGGCGGCGCTGGGTTTGCTCTCCGCGGGTTCGGGTCCTCGGTTTCGCCGTGTGCGGCACAGGGGAGGCCCTGCAGCGACGCGGCGGGCGCTGAGCTCCATCGGAACCGCGTCCGGCCCTCCGTGGCCAGTGCCCGAGCCCTGCTTGCCTTCCCCGGAGCCCCTCCAAGGCCGGCGTCTTGCCCGCCGGGTCCACGCCTGCATCGTTATGCCCGCGCATCTCCGTGGTGCCGGAAGCTCTGAGCACGCGTCCCTCTCACGCTTTCCTGGAGGGCTTGGCCCAGGAACATCCGGGTACCTATGCCCAGGGTCCACACCTGTCAATCCGGTGAGATCACTACCAGCCTCGGACTGTGGAGAGGACACGTGGGTTGCCCGCCGGAGCACGCAGCACGTGGATCCTTAGAACTTGGGTAACTCCTCTCCTCCGGTTTCTCTAAACAAGACCAGTTGGAATCCAAAGCCTCTCCCGGGGCTGCCCTACCCAAGCCAGAGTCAATCAGGACCTCCTGAAGGAGCTATGGCCCCTTTTTTCTACCTGTGTTTAAAGTTGGCATTAGCATCCCCCTTACCCACTGTGCTCACCCCCAGCCCATGAGGAAACTGTATTTTGTGACAAGACACTAGTTTTAAGAATTTCAGCGGTGAGGGACTGGAGAGACGGCTCAGTGATTAAGAGCACTGGCTGCTCTTGGGGAGGACCCAGGTTCGAGTCTCAACACCCACATGGCGACTAACGGCCATCAGTAACTCCAGTTGCAGGGGATCCAACACCCTCTTCTTGTTAGGGTTCCAAACAGCAGCAGTTTCCCCCCTCCCCAACAGGGACCTCACCTTGACCTTTGGAGTCAAGGGAAACCAACTCTGTTGAGAAGAGCAGCCTGCCTCTCCTCTGATCTCCAAAGATAAGATAACCAGAGATTTTAGAAGCTGTTTATCACAACAAGCTTTTCTCTTAAGAGAGAAAAAGTAAACACTTCCAGACCCTAATCCCACCTGGCAGACTGAACAAAATAAAACAACAACAAAAAGAATTTTCAATAGGGTAATTTGTGATTTAAAAATTAAGATATCAAAAGCAAGACCTTGAAAAGGGCAATAATTTCAAAGTAGTGATGAGTGAAAAGATTTGATTTTGTGATACTGGTAACAACTGTAGCAGGCTGTTCAAATGTCTTCCTTTCCCGGCTCTCCTCCCTTCCCTTCCCCTCCCTTCCCCTCCCTTCCATCTTTCCCTTCCCGAGGGAAAGGTGCCCCGTTTGAAATAAATCTGTATCCCGCTGAGAATTCCATCTGTGCCTCGGTGCCTCATCCATCCGCTCGCTCTCTCCCGCTTTCTACCTATCACTTCTGACCTTGGTGGGCTAGTGCTTTTACACACATGTAGGCAATACACTCATACACATAAAATAATTAGTAAAAAAAAAATTTTGTCTTTTTGAAGCAGGGTCTCCCCGTAGCCCCAGCCGCGCTGGAACTCACTATGTAGACCAGGCTGACCTTGAGCTCACAGAGATCCGCCTGCCTCTGCCTCCCGAGTGCTGGGACTACAGGCCTGCGCCACTATGCCCAGCTTAGTAAAATATTTTTTGAAAAAGAATTTCAGCGGTGAACTGTAGGGGCCAGACAGAGCCCAGAACAGTGGAGTGAAGGTTTCCCACGAGGCTCTGGGCCCCTGTCTGAGGCTTTGCAAGTGTTCTTTCATGTAGAAACCAGAACAGCACTAGGAGGAAGAGCCATCAGGACTGTCAGTTCTCAGTTAACAGCAGGGGAGGACAGGGAGGTTGCAGTGGCAATACTAGCCCATGCATTGACCTCTCACTGTACAGGCTCCTCAGCCCACGGCTGTATAGTTTAAATGTGATGAAATTGAGTTTGCAAACTCCTGCTCCTAGGCAGAGTCCAGAGACCCAAACTGTGACATGCCTCTGCCTGGGAGGAGCTCTTAGGTCCTAGCAGAGAACTTGAAGCAGGCTTTGTGGGCTAGGTGCTGTAGAGTTTGGACCCAAGGTACAGAGATACCTGTTACTCTCATATACACCTCTGGGTGTATCTCTGGGGCCTTTCCAGAAAAGCTTAAGTGAAGAGGGAAGACTGAAGTGGACCATCCCTTGGGCTGGGGGTCCACACTGAATGAAAAGGAGAAAGAGAACCTAGGACCTGCATTCATCCCTGTTTGCCTCCTAGATGCAAAGTAGCCATCAACTGCTCCTGCAAGTACCCTTCCCCACATGATGGACTGTATATACCCTCAAATCTTGAATAAAAATAAGCCCTTCCCTCTTTAAGTTACTTTTGTTAAGTATTTGGTCACCTCAGTGAGAAAAGAACAGAAACAGAAGTGGGGCTATTGCTACCCTTACAGAGGACCTAGGTTCAATTCCCAACACCTACATGACAACTGACAGCTGTCTGTAACTCCAGTTCCAGGGGATCCGATGCCCTTTTCTGACCTCCATGGGCATTGCACAACATGGGTGTACTTACACACATGCCAGCAACACACTCATACACATAAAATAAAAATAATAAATATTAAGAAAAAAATAGTCCTACGGGACTGGAGAGATGGCTCAGGAGTGAAGAGCACTGGCTACTCCTGTAGAGGACCCAGGTCCTGGGTTCTGTTCCCAGCACCCACATGGCAGCTAACAACCATCCATAACTAGTTCCAGGGGCTCCGATGTCTTCTGTCCTGTGCAGGCATTGTGCGCTGATGCTGATGTATATGCAAGCAAAATACTCATACACATAAAATAAAAATTAATAATAAAAAGAAACCTAGTGTTCCACACTAGGAAAGAGTGGAAAAGATGCCCTAAGGGCAAGACCCCACACATGGAAGATTCCAGATTGTAAAAATGCAAATTCATTTGAAAGACATGGCAAACTGAGGATGCCACTGAAGGGGCCCCTGTTTGAAAATTGCCTAGGGAAGCGCTTGCTCAGATTCAGCCACCACAGCATAAGAGGACCTAGTCCTGCGTAGAAGGGCTCAGGCTTCATTCCCAGCTGGCAGAACTTGGCAACATCGTTTTCGTTGTACTGGCTTTGCACACACAAATGGTACAAGAGTAAAGGGGTCATGGAGTTTTGTGCCAGAGTCCCAGAGAGCTGGAAGGCCTGGCAGTGTGTGGCCACGTCAGAGTCCCTGCCTGGAGGCCCCAAGGGGTCACTGTGCGAAGATGTCAGGGAGGTCTAAATAGCAATGGAGACACCCCCCCATCCCAGGCTGTTAGAGAGGCCAGGACCATGGGACATCCGCTGAGGGATGCTGCTTGTAAGGACTGCAGCTGACCCAAGAGACAGGCTATATGTGCTGCAGGCTGCAGAGCTGGAGGGGTGGGAATGCTGAAATCTTTTGGAATCTGGCTGATTTCTTCATGAACCCCAGATGCCAGACATAAAACTGCAGGAATTAGGGTTTGCCCTTGCTTGGCTCAGTTTTCCTTACAAAGCCTCCATCCCTCCCTGTTAGAATGGGAATGCTCACTCTGTGCCATTGTTATTGGAAGTATGTAGCTGCTTTTTATAGGAAAATCTAACAATTAGGAGATTGCCTTGGGTCTCAGAAGAAACGACTTTTGAATGGTGTAGGGACTGTTAAATACCATGGGAACTATTAGAGATGGACTAAATGTCTTTTGTGTTATGAGATGAAAATGAGACTTAGCAACTGTTTTGGTTACTTTTCTGTTACTATGAGAAAACGCCATGACCAAAGTGAATTGCAGAAGAAAGCGTTTATTTTGATGTATGGTTTCAGAGAGACAAGAGTCCTTCACCAAGTGACAGGTGTGGTGGCAAGAACAGGCAGAATGAACTGGAAGTGGGCCAAGGCTATGAGCTCTCAGAGCCCACTGCCAGTAACATACCCCCTCCAGAAAGACTGCACCTTCTGAAGGTTCCATGGCCTCCGCAGTGCCACCACCTGGGGACCAAGTGAGCCTATGGGGGATGTTTCTCAAAGGGTGGGATGTTATGGCATAAAGTGATGTGTCTGAGTGTCAAGTTGACAAGGGGTGGAGTTCTGACGGTTAACCTCAATTTTCAACTTGAAGAGATTTAGAGTCACCATGGAAATGTACCTTTGGGCCTGCCTGTGAGGTGTTCCCAAAAAGGGTTAACAGAACAGAGAAGACCCTCCTTGAATGGGGGCCACACTAGCGGGTGAGCTGGAGTTCTAGACAGCGTAGAAAGGAAGAAGCAAGCTGAGCATCAGCGTTCATCTCCCTCTGGTCAGAGCAATGACGAAAACAACTAATACAGTAAGGATCAGATGAGTTTAAAGACAGTGTGGGTGCCAGATCTGTCTCAGAGCTCGGCGTCGGTTCCGGTCTGTCAGATTCTCCAGTCGTCCAGTCTGGAGGGCTTATGGCTTGTAGGCTCTGCCAAGGGGACAGCACTTCATGGTTGATGACTGTGACACAGCAAAACCATTTACCTCATGTCCAGGAATAAAAAAACTAAAAATAAAACATTAAGAAGGAAGACACCAAGGTCCCATACTCACTGTGAGGGAGCTCCCCCAGTGACCTAAAACCTCCAACCAGGCATCACCTCTTCATGTTTCCCCCACCTCCAAAGCAGCCATCTGAGGACAAAGCCTTTAATACACTGGCCTTTCGGAGACTGCAAACATTAGTACCCAAACATCGTGAGTAGAGTGTTGGGAACGGTCAGCCACCATGGAAAACAGTTCCGTTCTTTCTTTTTATGCACTTTTTAATTTTTTTTAATTTTTTATGTGTATGAGTTATGCCTACATGTGTGTAAGTGCACCTGTCTTAGTTTGTTCTTCATTGCTGTGACAAAACACTCTGACCAGTGCCAACT